AAATCTCATGGGCCGGTTTTTGGTAAAGGAGGGGGTATAAGCCAAGTTGTCTCGGGCGTGGAGTTGACATTCTTCCGGAATGAGTCATGGCAGCACTTTTAGGGAGCGACAGCGATGCGAAGGAGCTTCCAACGAGGAGGACAGTCGATTTTCCGCTGAGCTCAGGGACACTCGAGCTCGCCTTTCCATCTCTGGACCATCGCCCTGCCTCTGCAAGAACTATGATTTCCTTCTACCTGATGTCCTTATGTTGTTGTCTATTGGTCTTATATAGTCATCGTTTGTCATGTAGAATGTTTTCTCATATACTATGTGTACTGTAGTGTAATGTATCTTTCCTATGTCTCGAAAGTAAACTTCACAGTCAGATGGTTTCAAAGGTAGAATAGCAAGGGATGCAGCTCACGCGGTGCATACTCTTTACCGTGTACAGCTTGTTTTCAAGCTGCACGTTGAAAGCGTCAATCAAATTCTGTCATAAACCTATGAAAGAGGTTGCTTTGCGCTTGCAGACTTCAATTCAACTTGCTGAGCAACTAGGTTAATCGAATTGTTTTGCAACACTATGGACGTTGTTCTCTGTTTACTCATTACTCAAAAAAAATATAACAAAAACGTTTTGCTCCAGATCATAAGAACTTCTCTACCCGTTTGATGACGAGTTCGTGAGGCCTTATAGTAAGAAAGCATGCCACAAAATACTCATGAGAAAGATCATGTTACGCCACGTTAGGTCTATTGACCACTTTGACCCAATCCCTCCAGTCGCTTTACTGTTCTGCTTCTCGCTGCACTTTCTTCCGTTTTGTAACCATTGTGACCTCACACTCAGCATTTTACGCTGAGTGGTGCCTTTAAGTGCCTTGGTAGCCGCTGTCGTCTGGCTGTGTTCATGTAGGGTTTCGTGACAGACCACGCAGAGAAGTATCAGTGATGAGGGGACCTTTACATAATCAGAAAATGGACAGAGTTACTATGTTCTTCTGGAGGCAGTCCCAATTTGGGAGTACAACGTGTCCGCTTACATGTGAGTTGATGCAGTGGGCAATTAGACCATATGTCTGCAGGGATGAGACCACATTTTGAAACCATGTTCGTGTGATTAGATGCAGAACCAAAAGAACAAAAATCGGATTCTTCAAAAAATCAAAAAAGGAATCAAAATTTATTTGATTCTTTATGCTCTATCGAGCTACCAACCACAAAACGACATGTTTGAGCACAGAATGCCTTCATGTAGAAGTCTGACTCATCTTTACAGCGGCCTTCTGCTTTCCACTCTTGACATTGCTTTGTATCTCCCTGATCAATGCAGGCCTGAAAAACAGAACTGGGATTTTCCGAGGCGATTGTTCACATCGGACAACCTTCAAAAAAAAGAACCAGAAGTGTCCATGGTTGTTTACGCGCTATTCGAATTTCCTAATGTGCATTTTCGAGTTCGCCACAACAACCTTATTAGGTATGTAGAGGAATACGAAATTAACTCGTACCTCTGTTGTGAAGGCATTGAGCAGGAGAAGCGCACAAAGCACGTAGAGGAGCATGTCGAACTTCTGTGTTGTGATCATAATCGACGGTAAGGCCTATTTATACCCTACTTATAGTGTAACTGCGGCTGTCTGTGCAGCTGTGATGTCATATTTGAATAACAGGGTGCTGTACAAGTATCCTTATATAGATGGCTCTCCAATTCTTATCTGAGGACTGTCAAAATATATATTAGAGTACTGAAAAAACTTCGGTTCAGAATACAACTGAGTACTTTGGTCCACTCCCGAATTTAGGGAAGACATGACATGTATATGATCGCCGGTAACTGCACCCGACAGGATCATTGATGTTGAATGCTACTCAGGCTATTCTACTCATGCTTATTCCAGCGCAGATCTGAATTTTGTTGGCTCTATTTCCAACAAACTGCCTACATGTATATAACTACAACGGAATTTATTTTTTTCTCTAATTATGAACCCATCATAAGTTGCGCTCTTCGTCTTCGTCGTTACGAACGGTTATCTTTCCAAACACTGATCCGGAATAGCAGAAAATTCACTTTCGTCATGCAATCAGAATTTGCTGCGGATTTGTGGATGTTCTCAGATAAGGTAAACAGGAAAGATATCATGGGAAATTTGCTGAGCGCTTGAAATATGATAACACACCTGCAGCGACGGTCACAGTCACATTACTCAGGGATCATAAATAGGCCCCACAGCTGAATTTTCTCGCCCTTCACAGAAGTTCGACATGTTCTTCTACGTGCTTTGTGCTCTCCTCCTTCTCAACGCCTTCACAACTGAGGTACAAGTCAGTATCGCGGATTACTGGCTGTGTCTGGATGGGGTTCTGTGACGAACTTAAAGAGCTTATTATCAAAGCCTCAGTGTTTTCTAGATAATTCATGAACAGGACCAGTTCTCTGTGAAGGAACATTGATCATGAAACCCGAGCACTTCAAGCGAATATCCATCTTTATAATACATTAGCTTTTTCAGGCGTGCATTGACCAGGGAGATACAAAGCAATGTCAAGAGTGGAAAGCAGAAGGCCGCTGCAAAGATGAGTCAGACTTCTACATGAAGGCATTCTGTGCTCAAACATGTCGTTTTTGTGGTTGGTAGTTTCCTAGAGCATCAAGGAATAAACATATCTCAAGACCTTGCACGTCTTGCCTTCTTTTTTCCATGTTCTTCATCTTGTCAGTTAAACAAGGCTCTGAAGTACGAACTGCACTGACGTTCTAGCTACTTACTGTATCTAGTTCAAAGCGATGGCGAAACGAGGTTTTCGACTTCTACTTCGCGCGTCATAGTGATGATATCTGATAGGATTTCTTTCTGCAATAAGCAAAAGGAGCCGTCGCATTGCAAATTCACGACCTAAACGTACTTTGCGCTTTTGGTCTTGATTCACTGCTTTCAGTGCTTCACTCTACATGTGGCAGTGCTTCACTCAGTGCTTCACTCTACATGCTTTTACAGTAATCGGACTGCTCATTGCGGACCCACAGTTTCAGTAACTATTAATCACCCACTCAAATGCAGAAAAGCTCTTCACATGTGCTGTTATCCTATTCTCTCTTCTGCGCAGTGATGAATAACGGTCATGCGCTCGGTTTCGACGGCAAGCGCGTTTCAAAACATGCAGGAAAGAGAACAATCGCGCCATTCTTCGGTCGTTCCTGGATGAAAGTCCACCACTGTCCTCCTCGTTACCATGTCGAATCTGCCAGCTGCAGATACCCATTCTACCAATGAATAAG